GACCTTGTGCTTGCCAGGCAGGCGCTTTTGCCACTGAGCTAAATCCCCAGCCCTTTGCACAGGTCATTTTTCTATTAGAAAAGGTTAACGTGTACCTAAATCACAGGGAATGAATGTACTTTAAATTTTCATAGTATAATGAAAACTATTTACATTGTTAAACTTTTACCAAGGGGTTCATCTTGCAAGATATAACAGATTAGAGCTGACATTATTTCCAATGACTTTGGCAGAGTGAATATCAATTTAAAATCCATCAATGGTAGATTACCTATGGAAATGTAGGGAGTAGGGATTCAGGTAATCTCAGACAAAAAGTTCACCAAAATTCAGATCTGGAAGGGAGCAGAGTCTAATGCACAGCGAATAAAAAGAACATCTCTAGAGAAATTCAACTCTGCCATTGATTAGCCAAAGCGGATTATGCCCTGAGTAACTATGGGTTGATTATATTACATGGTCTCTAGCCTCACCAAAGGGGTTATATTGAGATACCCTACCTAATTTAAGAACAATGGAAATTTAGTCATCCACAATATTGGTAAGAAAGAGCTTTGTTATTGAAAGAATTATCTTCCATATCACCTCTTGGGTGTTTAGATCTTTGATAGGTAAGCATCCATTTTTCTTAAATAACTTCTTGTGAGTTAGGTTGAGATGCATAGCACCATATGGCAGAGATAAAACTGAGACAAACACACCAAGCCAAAAGATATGGAGATCAACATTTGGAATGAAGGATGGAGAATGGCCGATATCATACCATCACAGCGTGCAGAGAAACAAAGAAACATCGGCACAGAAGCAACAAACAGGCAAAGAAAATATTGGCACCATCAGCAAAAGGCATTCCCACTAAAGCAAGAGAACTCTATAGACCAGCTCTGCAAACTTCTATTTGGGATCCATTTAGAAAGCTACTATCTACCTACCTACAAGCCTGACACAAACACACATTTTTATGAAGAAATAGGACTGAAAACTTATGAACATTTTCAAAAAGTAAGAATGTCTGCCTTCTGCCTAAGGGACATACTGGTCTATAAAGTATTAACATGCGTTTGAAATCGTGCCTTACCTGATCTGTTATGCTCCAGAAGTCGGTTATCTTTGCCCAGACATGTGTCACTCTGTGTACTATTGCAGGCCATATTTAATTCTGTCTTGCAAAACGTAGGTGAGCTTGCCTGAGGGGCAGGAGGAATGTGCTTCTTTCTTTTTCTTGGAAGTTTCTGCTTGGCCATTGCCAAGGAGTAGTACATTCCAAAATTGTTGACAATCACAGGCACCGGCATGGCTATCGTCAGCACTCCAGCCAGAGCACACAAGGCTCCCACCAGCATCCCTGACCATGTTTGGGGATACATATCTCCATATCCCAGGGTTGTCATGGTCACAACAGCCCACCAGAACCCAATTGGAATGTTTTTGAACTGCGTGTGCTCACTAGCTGAAGGGTCGTTAGGCTGAGCTCCTACTCTCTCAGCATAGTAGATCATGGTAGCAAATATCAAGACTCCAAGAGCCAGGAAGATTATCAGCAGCAAAAATTCATTAGTACTAGCTCGAAGAGTGTGTCCAAGCACCCTCAGACCTACAAAGTGGCGGGTGAGCTTGAAGATTCTCAGTATCCTCACAAATCTTACAACCCTGAGGAAGCCAAGGACATCTTTAGCAGCTTTGGAGGACAGCCCACTGAGTCCCACTTCTAAGTAGAAGGGTAGGATGGCCACAAAGTCAATAATATTCAAGAGGTTTTTGATGAATTCAAGTTTATTGGGTGAAAAAACAATACGGACTAAAAATTCAAAGGTAAACCACACTACACACACTCCTTCTACATACGTCAAGGCAGGATCCGTTTCGATTTCATATTGTAAAACAGCACTTGTCCCATTGATGACTGGTTCTGTCTTGTTTTTAACGATATTGAAAGCTTCATGTGTCTCCAGGCAAAAGGTTGTGATTGAAACCAAGATGAAGAATAGAGAAGCAAAAGCAATAAACTGTAGAAGAAAAAGAAATAAAAAACACTGATCTGAACCAAATATACTTTGATCCAAATCTAAAAGCATCAATTCTTGCAAATAAAAAGAACAACAACATATTTTAAAAGTTCATTTGAGATGTCATTCAAGTAAAAAAAGACTTCTATATATAACATTAATTAGAGTATAAATACATGCTTTAATTTGTTTTCAGCTTGTGAAGAGATATAGTTTTGCTCTATGTTGGAAAATAATGTCTTGAACCTTTTATGTACAAAAATATTACCTGTGAAGAGAGCATATAAAATTGTTCTTAAAGGATTTTAAAGGATAACAGGCTGGAAAAAGAAATTAGACCATGGCTCCAGACATTGTTTGGGGTTCTCGAAACTTTATTATTAAGTCAAATTTTACATTCTGTAAATATAAAGTATATGACATATGGAGGGAAATTTGGAAACCACTCAAATTTGCTGTAAGTTTACATTTATAAGTAAAATATACCAGATATTCAGATATAAACATAAAAAATTATAATATATTCTACAAATTACTTTATCAATTTAAATGGAGATTTGTGTGATGGAGCAAGTCTCGGAAACACAAGACTGAAAGGAGAAAAATCAAATTAAAGAACAAGTTAAAAGACAGTTTCCTTGCCTTATTAAAAAAACTTTGAAATATTAGAGTAACAAATTATAGAGTTGTTTTTAAATTCAACTCTTTGTTTTCTTCAGTAAATAATATATTAAGACACATATACCCACTAATATAGTTTCCACTTATAGAATTCTGACTACTACCAGGCACGATTGAAACAAATTTACATAATTAACTCATATTACTCAAAATAACAATATTGCTACTACCTCAAGTTTTGGAACATGAATATTAATCCTGGACTGCTTGAAGAAGTTAAGTCGCTTTTCCTAGGTCCTAAAATACAAAATGATGGACCTGAGAAACTAACAAACCAAGTTTAGCTCCAGATTCTGCTTCCTTATCTTGTCAATCTCTCGAATGCAGAAACAAATATATTGGAAATCACTTATTTAGGCTAGCATCCCATATTTCTTAATATTCACGATCTGAAAATTGAAAGCCGGGGGGTGTTAGTGAATGACATTGTTGTTCTCAGTGCTAGAGGCTTTAAAATAGCTGGCTGACTTCTACAGCTGTCATAATGTTCTGAGATTTAGCACACTAAACAATAGAGTGTTCCTGGACTATCTCAACAAAGAGTTGTTCAGAAGAAGAAAATAATTAAGTGAAGGGAACCTCTCATTTGGAAATAATAAGGTACTCAAAGACAGTGCTGACTCCCAACATCTCCTCAAATTTGCCATTGCCAGGGGCTCAGCCAGGTTGCCCAGATAGACTGTGACTATCTGCTTTAAAGAACCACCCAAAATTATGAAACTGTTTTTCTGAGGTGTGGTGGTTAGTAAATCCATCCTGTGGTATTATATGGCTGCCATTTTTGTGGCTTTGATTTGCTTTCCCATACATATCTTCCAGTTATCCTTGTTTTTGCCTTATGAACTCACTAAGTAGCTTTTTCAGATTTTCATACTGGAAGATGCTAATTTTTTCATAATTTTCACTTTGTACAAATAAGCATATAACTCGTTTAAATCAACTAGTTATAAGATAATATAACTCAGACCCTATAAACGTTAAAAGATGCCATCTTTAAGGGAAGAATTTATTTTAACTTATTCATAAATGATTCCTTAATCTAATCATAACTTTATCTACAGATTTTAACATTGTTCTGTTTCTCACTCCACTAAATTCTTTTGTCATTAGAATTCTAGTATGGCCAGACATGGTGGCACACACCTGCTGTAATCCTAGCACTTTGGAGGCTGAGGCAAGAGGACTGCCAGGAGTTCCAGGCCAGCCTGGATTACACAGTGAGTTCAAGACAAACCTGAACTACATAGCAAGTAGTTTCAGGAATAAAATCCTATGATATACTTATGACTCTACCTACCAACCCGCCCCATAATCCTCACCTCAAGTCTCCAGCCTCTCATGGTGAACGTCAAAAAGTTTTAGTGCGCAAACTCTTCATCAACAGGCAGTTAGAAAGTAGAAGACAATGACACTACAGCTTTATTTTATGCTTCTAATGTTGCTCAGTCGTTTTGCATCTAGCTTTGCAGTCTCAGTCTCCACTTAGCTTCATGTGCTGCATTCAGTAAGCTTTCTCAGTATTTTCCTCTTTCAAAACAAGTCCTAATGTGCCTGCCACATCCATACAACAAAACAGTGTATCTATGCAAGACACAGGGCCTTTTCCAGTTAGGTTATTTTCCTTCCTTCACTCATTCTTCACTGTGTATGTCTCTCTATGCCAGGCCACAGGTTAGGTTCTTAATTTAACAGCCATTTACAGGCATAATTCCTGCCTTTGAGGAGTACTACTAGAGATACAGACACAAAATTCATCAATCACATAAAAATTATGCAATTACAAGTGTTATAAGTACAATGAAAGAAAAAATATAGGATTCTTTAAAAGGATCGAAACAATGAGCCAAGACTGGAAGATCACTGGAAGCTCTGACAAAATGTCCAGGGTCTGAAATTTGAGGGTCGAGTAGAGGTCCACCTAAGGGAAAGGGTAACTTTGTGTATCACACTGTAAGAAGCTTTAACCAAGAAAATCTGGGCTTTTAATCTTACTTTCTCATTTGATCCTTAGCTGTAGCACCACAAAAATCACAGGCTTTCCACCTTTGTCCATGTTGTAGAGATTGTGATGCCTAGACCCAACCTAGCATGGAGACTCTGCCTTTTTAAAGGTTAATCTTTTTTCTTGAGGAAATTTTAATTAACCAGAAATATGAGTTTTAAAGCAAAGCTAAAAGGCCACATTGCCATTTAGTTTCTGATAGTGCTACTTTGTGTTTGTTCTCTACAGAATTCATTTGTCTTATACTATTCTACCAGCTTTATTGTTTGAAATGATGTAAAAACATAAAGTACATATTCAAATGGTCTTCAGTTGAAAGCACTATGCAAATGCTAGAAATAATTTAGCATAGCTTTTAAAAATATAACCATTCCTCAATATGAACTTCTAGAATCTGACAATGAGTTATTATATTGTCAGAAAAAGGTTAACCATCTTAAGACATTTATGGCTGGAACATACTTGTAAGTAACATGAATCATCTTGTCCTCAGAAACAACTTAAATTACCCATATTCCTGGAAAAAGGGCATTGTACAAACTCATATGTGTTCTAATAAATCTAGTGAATGTACAAAAGTATGAATTCCTCCTCCCAAGAAGAGATGCCCAACCATCTTGTGGAGGCAGAAGGAATCAGCATTTAGCAGCTTTTGAGATGATTGTAATGCATACTGAAGTTTGAAAACCAAATTCCTGTGTATTTTTTCAATAAACTAACAGCACATATTATCAAAAAAATGGAATAATTTTCAAATTATGCACATCTGTAGACTGTTAAGAGAATCCTTCTACAAAAGAGGTCAAAGAAGAGGGGAGAAGTCAACCATGGAAGGCAAGATATCCCCAAAGTTTCAAAAAGAGAATACTAAGCCATAACACTAAGTGAAATAAATCAAACACAGAGGTTAAATATTGCATGCATTCTGTGGTACAACAAATCCAAACTATAAATAATTTAAAGTGCAAAATAAAACAGAAATGGTAAAAAAAACAGGGAGGTAGACTCTGTGGAGAGGAGAAGGGCATCTAGGTGAGGAGAGAGAGGGGTCAAATTGCCATCCGCATGTGTTCCAAGTCCCCAAGAATAATGTAAACATTACGTATAGCAAGCATATGATAAGAATATTTTCTAAATAAAATAAGGCGGAAAGTCATCAGAAGAAACTTGGTCCCCATGAAAGTCCTTAGAGATTTTGGGAGAATGTGGAACTTTCCCTGGAAAGAATAGAAATTTAATTAATGAGCAACTTAATTTGAGTATCCAGTAAATGTGTAATCTTAAGAGCTTAGAAGACTGGAATTAGCCAGGGGGAAAAAACTGAATTGCGTTAGCAAGGATTTGATGCACTTTATCTGAACTTAATTCTAAGCTCTTTGGATATAAAAAATGTCTTCTTTTACATTGGCTTACTGAATAGATGAGTAAAAATGAGGTTAGACTGAATAATATTAAGAAAAAGAAATTAAAAAGGAAAGGAAAAGATATTTTATTTATTTGCCTTTCTTCTTCACTAAACTGAGATATCTTTAAGGACTGGAATTTGGACTTATATATTATGTAATCTTCTGCTCCTGACTCTCTCATGAATCTTTAATGTGGCAGGATAGCTGAATCAAGTGGTAAAAAAGTAAATAAAATAATAAGCAAATGAGGAAAAACACAGACCATATTTCAGTGGGAGTTAAAATGAGGTTAATCAAAAAGAAATAATAGAAATTAAACAATAAAGTATGACTATCAAAACAAAAGTCTTCAATTTTACAGCAGAGGCCAGCTGAACTAATTCAATGGCCAAAATGATGCCAGGAATAACTTCCATTCATTTTTATAAGAGAATACATCAGGGAAGAGTTGGGAAAGAGCCACCCTACCAGTTCTCTCTTCCTTTTCTATTACAATAATACCAGAAATTCTTACAGGCATTGAATGAACATAAAATCAGCATGTTGAATAATTAAAAATTAGAAAGCTTTCTAGCCAGACAGGGTGTATCATGTTGACTGAGTTCACAGAACTGAAGCATCATTCCAGGCAGTTTCACAATGGAAAATTCTGTTAAAAAATTGGCTTATGAGTCTAATAAGTAGAGATTTTTCCTCTGTAAGTCTGTAAGTCCACTGTCCATGTTTAACTGCAGAAAGTCCTCAAAACTCTTTTCTCCACACCTGTGATCTCAGTAGGAAACCCTTAGTTACCAAGCTCTGTGTGAAGGGTATTAAATCAATACTCATCTGTATAAACAGTTGAGCAGATTCCCAGGTAAGGATAACAGGTTTCTTAGACTAAGCAAAACTGAGCTCTATGACTTACAAAT